GAAGAGAAACACAAGATTGTCCCAAACACTCAGCTGACAGCAAGCTGTATTAAAGCCAAGGAACCTTTGCAGACTTATTACCAATTTATTTCGCACTGCCAGCAAAGCCAAGGACAGTGCTGGAACAACCCCATGCTACCCTGTCTTTTCCAGGGCACAGTTCCCAAGCCTGGAGCATGAGCAGCACAGCTGCGTGAAAGGCTGAAACACCCATGTGTTCAGAAGCACTTTATAGCAGCAACTGCAGCAGCCTTGAGCTGATGCTCTGCCAGCGAACCCCATCTGCATATAGGCAGGACAGCCAGGACTGACAGAGGTCGTGAGAAGCACGAGCAGTCTGGCATTGCTGGTCGTCCTCAGGAAAACAGAGTTAGGAACCCACTCCCCGGGGTATCAGCCATCTGTTTTCTGCTGTGTTTGCAGTGCCAATTTCCACATGAGATTAGGAGACAACATGATGCCCCCACCCCCAGGGCCTGCTTCCTTTAAGAACGCTCTTGCCTACATACGCTCGGTCTCCTCATCATCGAGGTCTGCTCCCAAAGGAGCGCTGCTCCAGGGGGAACGGCACGCCTGGCCGGTGGCATCTCCTTCCCAGCTCTGCCCTGCTGTAGTACTCAGCAGCGCTGAAGGTCACTACCTGAAGGTGTGCAGTCAGCTCTCTGTATTTTTTGATGGTCTGCTGGTAGTCAGCCACGGTCTCCTGTGCAGCCTCCACACGCTTCTCAGCCTCGCGGACCCGTGCTGTTGCCATGTCCAGCTGCTCCCGTAACTCCAGCTCGGTCTCCCGGGCATTTTCCTGCAGCTCGTCGTTCATCTCATTCATGGCTTCCTAGAAACAAGGAGGTGACGCGGGATGCAGTTACCCCGCGGCCTCGCAAGTGAGGGCAGCCTGGCATTTTCAAAGCAGAGCAGAGGGCCACTCCTGAGCGTAACGGGCATATTCTGCAGAGATGAAGGACGAAACACTTGGAAGCACAACCAAGTGCGATGGCTTTAGAGAGCTTCCTCAGTTCCCTCTGGCACTGCTACCAGTGCACATTAGCATTGCTGCCTTGGGCAGCCACAGCTTCAGGCAATCAGCCCAACCGGCCTCATGTCAGCCCAGCCACACACCAGGCATAAAGGAAGCAGCACAGGCACTCCAGCACCACCCCTTACTCCACAGGAATCTGTCTTACTAGGTCTCCAACAGTCTCACGCAGCTCCCGGACCTTCTCTTCCAGGTCTAAGTTTCTCTCCGTCAGAGTCTCCACCATCTCTTCAGCACCCAAAGCAGCATCGACCTGCAAACACACGCCACATCACAGTCCAACCCAGCTCTCAAAGCATTGCTACCAGCCGCTTAAAGTTCCTTTTGTATCACAGAGGGATAACTCCGGTGAGCTCTGGGATGTGACTGTCGCATCTTTCTCCCCCTCCCGGGGTGACTGCTTGGGCAGGAAGCGCGTAGGCTCCCTCCCAACAGCAGAGGGCAATATCCACGAGGACAGCAAGCAACTCAAACCAGAGTTGCCACCAATGTGTCTAGCAACTCAAAGGAAGGGCATGCTAAAAGAGAGGCTAGGCTTTGGCTCTTACAGTTATTACTGCGTCTTTAGCTGCAGCGTCAGGGTGCGACGCTGAACTCTTTCAGGTCAGCGTAAATGATGCTGACTGTTGGGTTGAGTCTTTGCAGACTCATGACAGTGCTTTCCAGGCTCTCTGTCCTCCCCCAAGGACCTACGTGAGTGGTTATAAGCTCACAATATTAATAGAGTAATGGGCATGTCAGTCTTTGCGTTAACAGGCATCACCTCTAACAGCCCACCTTTTATAAAACTCAGGTTAATGCTCAGAGAGCGTGTGGCCTGCTTCCCTCCACAGCCGTAGTTTAGAGGAATTGCACGCACTGCCTTGCGGTGAATAAAGATCCTTCCTAGGGAGTTTGTAAGGGCAGCTCCTCAGCTGCAACCCTGGCTAGGAACAAGCCTCGTGAAGATGGCTCAGGCAGACAGATTAGAAGGAACAGAACTTAGCAAGTAGCAAACACGGATCACCCCTACAAAGCACAACATACAGCGCGTACTTTATGTTCAAGAGCCACCTTAGAACCAAGTACAAAATAAAGCAGAGTCCAGCACAGCTCTAGTGCTGGAACAGGGTTTGCTTTCGGACGCAGACACAGTGGTATTAGTCCCTGCAGTAGTATCGCCCAGCGTGGCTCTCCAAGAGCGACTGCCAAGATGAAACACCTCCATGCCGTGAGGTAACCCTCCCTGACTTGCCTAGCAGCAGTTGCCCAAGGCCCAAAAGAGCCTAAACCACCCCCCAGATCGACTCACCTGCTCCTTCAGCTCATCAACCGTTTTCTCTGCCTGCTTCACCTCCTCCTGCAGCTTCTCCCTCTGCTGACGCAGGGACTCCAGCTCTGTGTTTTTCTTCTCCATTTGCTTCTGAAGCTTCACATGTTCCTGCTTCTCTGATGCAGACAAATCCCGCATCCTTACAGAGAGCAACCAGACTCAGCACAGGACAGCGGAGGCACAGGTACTACAGCAATAGAAGCCATTCCCTTCCCAGACGTCGCTCTTTGTGCGGTCCCTTCCTACCACCAGGGCCAAGACCCCGCTCTTCAGTTGGCCTTGGAGACAAGCAGAGCTACCAGGCACTGCTGGAGAGCCCCAACAGACCCTGCATGTGCCAGGCTGGCACAGAAGCGACTTCCAAAGTTTGGGAGTGGGAACACACGGAGATCTAAGACACTCAAGCAGAGGTCATACATTTTAAGGATAAACTACTCCCACCTCCGAAAGTATGTGGTCTGCAATTCAACTCATGAGCTGCCCCCATCTCCGCTTAAAGAAGAGCTGCCCATACAGTCTCCTATTCTGCTGCATCTGGGCAGCCGTTCCCCAGTGGAGACACCAGCAATGTCCCCAGAGAACAACTAATGAACAGTGAGGGATGGAGATGAATCAGTGCCTGAAATGGCACCTTCCTCTGAAAGAATCAGAGCTATTGGAGAGAACAGAGAAGGAGAAAATAGGAAAACGAACAGGAAAGAATAACTGCAAATGGAACAGTCTAAAGCACAGAAAGGAAGAACTAAGTGAGCAAAGAAAAATAACACAGTCACGTTCAGTCTTTCACAGTGCATGAAAGAGGGTCCACAGCAGAGAAGAAAAAAACAAACAAAAAGACAGAGTACAGACAAGGTAAGGTGTTTCATCATAGCAATGAGAACAGAGCTTTACTTATGTGTACTCCGACCCCAGTGTGAACAGCTCTGTTAAGAGACTATAAAGTTCCCCTGCCCACTTAAGTTTAAGGGCTGGGAGTTTCTCTCACTTAGAACGGTTTCTTTATACTTCCTATCCCAAACATATGCTGGTTGGGAAATCCTCGCAAAGTAGTTTGTCGTGTTTTGTATCAGTAGGGAATGCCTCCACAGCAAGGCCACCTCCTACTTCTCCCTTCCTTCACCTGTTCCTGGCCTACAAATCATAAACGTCTTTGAGCAGGGACAGTTTTCTGCACAAAGGGCAATATAGCACCCTGCATTCACAAAGGAATTAAGGTGTGACAGTGAGCAATGATATGGTTACCACAGGGACCCAACCTGATCCTTTAGGCTAGAGGACACGCGGCTTTCAGAAAGAAAAGCCTCAATGCGCTGGCACGTGCCTTTACACAGAGAAAGGCAACAACGAGTTTGGACAGCAGGCTCAAGAAAGCTCAAGTAGGACCTGCCCAGGATGTGTCTGGAGAACTATCCTATACAGGCTGCTTGAATAAACCTACAGCACAAAAACCTGCTGCTTTTCTGGAGAAGCACAATATCGCATAAACAGAGAAAAGAAATAGAGCACGAGCTTCCTGAAACGGCTCATTTTCTCTTTATATGCATTGTTCTCCAGTAACAAGGGACTCTTCTTTTTATCTTGTTTCAGCCTCTGCAGGCTTAAAGGAGCACACAGAGCTTGAACAGCCCAAGAGTCAGTTAGCAGCTTTTACGCCGTCTGCTCTGGAGAGCAAGGGTTTGGCTCAGTGCTCTAACACAAGCTGTCAGTAGACCGACAGAACACGGGCTTTCATAGCAAGGATCTGCATAGGCAGTACCCCAGCCTTTTGTGAAGCCAAAGGTGGTTTCCTACCTTACAAGAGCTTCCTTGAGTCTTGCATTTTGCTCTTCTAGCTGTTTGACTTGGTAACTGGATGCTGCTCCATCTGAGCCTGGAGTGGAAAAGAAGCATTATTCAGCTTGTGCAGAAACAGCAGCTGCTACCATCTCTCAGCACTAAGTGACACTACAAACACTATTAGGAGGACAGCTAAGTCCCAAAGGGAAATGGAGCAGTCCCTCTGCTGCAACTGAGCAAAACTCAAGCCTGGTGCATAAACCTGGTGCTCCTAGGTTGAGAGATTCCCCTGATTATATCAAGGTCAATTAGTTCAGATGAAGAACCATTGTATCAATTTGCAGACTATATCCAAGCAATAGCTGGGTTATGACAGAGCTGCACTTAGCCGGATATAGCGAGCATGTCTAGCTCCCTCCAGGCACTCAGAATGCAGTGAGAGCAAACTCAAATAAAATATACCACTCATCTCAGTAATTTCCTCATCTCCCTGCAGACTGTTCCTGTCCTCCCCACATTTTTTTCACTCCCTCAATATGTCTATCTTTCTGTCACATCCCTCAGCCTGCCTGAGGGATCATCTGCCTTTTTTTATGGGTTTAGTTTCTTTCAGGTGAATGCTAATGCTACAAGTGTTTCATAGCTGCTCATTTCCTGCTATGTGTAATTTTTAAAGCTCCGCTTGAACACAAAGAGCTAAAAAGGCCACAGTGGAACCAAAAACGGGCAATAAACTGGTTTTGAAGATATGCTCAGGGCAAAGCTGAGCAGTTGGATCTAAAAATCAGCAAGCAACAAAAGCAGTTATATGACCTTCCACATAAAGTCTGTCCCACTCAAACACCTTGTGGGGTGGGATCCACTGTCCCCAGCGAGAGTGACAAGCATTAAAATTAAGTCTCTGGCATTAAATCCAAGCCCCTCCAAGTCTAGGACAAGAACACTCTTGTCCCCAGCCTCAGAAGTGCAGTAGCTACATCTCTGTCTTCTCAGCGAGGCCTGGTATCTGACTGAACACAAAGCTAAGCTGCTGCCTCCTGCTGACCTGCCCCTTGCAAAGGTCCTACCTGTACCTACTGGGCAGGGCTGGAAACACAGCAGAATGTCTCAGGGGCTGCCAGGTGGGAATTGCAGAGGCAAACCCCAAGTCCCACTGTAATTAGCAGTAAGGATCCACCACTGCTGCTAAGAAGTCAATCTCCTCCCCAGTGATAAGCTCCCCTGCGGAGCAGCACCCCTAGCTGACACCACTCTAAAGCTGATCCTTTCTCACATCCTCTCCCACCTTTCTCTTCTATCTCATGCTTCAGGATCTCCAGGTCCATTGTGAGATATTCCACCTTCTCTTTCAGGGAGTCCACCTCTTGCTGCAGGGATTCTGCTCGCTCTTCTGCCATCTCCTTGTCCAGGGTTGCCATTTCAATTGCATCAGCAGTATCTGCCATCTCCTCCATGTAGCGTTCCTTGGCTTCCAAGGCATCTTTGGCTTCCTGCAGTCAAGCACAAACAAGTGAGAAGACCATGTCCTGGAAGCCCAAGGCCAATTGTTAAGAGATCCATCTCATAAGCAGCGAGCCTCAGACAGTTATGACTGCCACAGCTCTCCCAAAGGAGAATCAAGTCCAATTAACAAGAGCTCATCCAGGCTTAGAGGGGAAGGCCCACTGCCAACACTCCAGAGTAGCCTTTTCCTCTTTCTTGGGAATCTCTCCTCTGTTTTGTAGCAGCTGCATTTCAAACCCACTCCCATCAATTAGACAGCCCAGCAGAAACACCCAAATACAGAACGATCTGCAGGTGAAGGAGAGATGGATATGAAGACAGAAGAGATACAGACTTGCTGTCACTTGTATTGGAGCAGATAAGCAAATATCTGGGGAAACAAACACTGGGGAAACAAACCAAGAAGCTGCCCTTGACAAAACAGGCCAAAGAGCAGAGAGAAGCGAAAGGTCACTCTCAGTGCTCCAAGCGTCCTCCTGTCTGTCGGAGATCACTATGCACGGGTGGGAGGAACAGAGCACCTATCCTTGGCAGGGGGACAGAGAAGGAGCTAAATCAGTAAAGTGAAGCAGACGTTTTAAGTGACATTCAAAGGCAGGACTTGGCAAGAAGAAATGGTACCGTAACTCAGGTGAGGGAGTAGCCAACACGCAAACCAGCTCAAGGGAGGGCTGAGAGAAGACAGTTCCTCAAGAAATATCATTAGAAGGACTATAAGCCGCAAGAAGAACAGCAGGAGGATTCAGGAATACCTTATGGAGGAGAATAAGGCACCAAATAACAGAACACCAGCTGCGAGCTGGCCCAGTGGTTTGCTACTACTATGTAAATCCAGGAGACTTGAAGCACTCCCCGATGAACTGAGACAGCAACAGCAGCACCAAAGAAGCACTTCTCTATATAGTGAGCAACACTAAGGTTCATTAGCTCCAATGGCTATGGCCAGTGGCTTTTACTGGCAATGACTCATGCTAACCAATCCTGCAGAGCAGAAGCTCAAAAAAAATATCAGTTTAGCTAAAGGGAGAAGGGTTTTAACAAATTAAAATTAAAATCTACAGTGGAAAGTCATGATCAGAGCCTCTTAGGAAGCCACTGCAGAAAGAAGCAATTCCAGGCTAGGGCAGGAAAGAAAAAGGCGCAACGGGAACACCCACTGACACCCTCCAGTCACTGAAGCAGGGAGGACAGTTCACACTTCTAACACAATCACAGAATAGGTGGGGTTGAAAGCCACCTCTGGAGATCATCTAGTCCAACCCCTGAGCAGGCTGCCCAGGACCCTGTCCCATCAGGTTTTGAATATCTCCAAGGGTGGAGACTCCACAACCTCTCCGGGCAACCTGCTCCAGCGTTTGATCACCTTTACAGTAAAATAGGTTTTTCTTATGTTTAAACAGAATTTCCTGCGCCCATGGCCTCTTGTCCTTTCACTGGGCATCAATGAGAAGGGCCTGGTTCTGTCTTCTTTACTCCTCCTCATCAGGTATTTATACATATTGATAAGATCCCCTTAGAGCCTTCTCCGACACCTCTGAAGACGTGCTTAGCTCAGACTAGGCTCCAGAGGACGGTATCATCTAATCTCCGTTTAAGAACGGCCCCAAGATGTTCCAGGTTGCTTCAGCTCAGTTCCTGAACAGACTCAGTACAACAAAGCAGCAGCTTACATTAATGCTGTATTTAAAAAAAAAAACATTGGGATGCAGCTTCTTCAAGTGATGAATACTGTAAGTGAATACATTGCTCAGTTAAAGAGTATGTTGCTTTAACATTACATAGAAACAAGCAAGAAGACAGACAAGCTGCTTCTTCACAAACACTAGAGAGAAAGATAAGTACATAGAAGAAAGGAAAAAAAAGCCTTCCTCCACACAGGAAATTAAAAGCAGCATGGTAGTTTAAAAAAAAAAAAATCTTTCAAGACATCCAGTTCTTGGGACATCAAAAGAACTTAGGCCTGCAAGGTCAGCATAAGCAAAGAGGAACAGATCCAGCAGCATTAACAGTGAGCATATTCCTGTGCTGCTGGCTCTTGCAATCGTAGTGGAAGCATCAAAGTGTGGCCGTGTTTTTAAAACCATAGCTGCTGGAATATATTGATTTTGGAAGTACTTTGCAAGGTCTCCAGGGACTTTACTCATGATTTTGAAGGTAAGACTGGTAGTCTATCAACAGCTTTGGGATTTAAACGGCGTCACTCCCACAGCGCTGGCAGATATGCAACCACAGATTAAACTGGAGAAATGAGGATGCTGCCATACTCAGATATTTATCTTGCAAGGTGAGGAGACGTGTGACTTGTTCCTCAATCACTATATGTTTCTCCATCTTTTAAAGCAAGCTATCCTTAACTTCAACTTACCTTAACCTGCACAAGACTGAAAATTGCATCGATACAGAAATTGATTCATGGATAGATCAGATGTTCCTGCCTCAAAGGCCAAGCCGTCTGTCAGAAGGGTCAGGCAGGCAGCAGAAAGCAAAGCAAATCCCAGGATGCACAAAATCTCCAATATCTTGACAGGACTGAGCACCCAAGGAAAGCCCACCCAAAGGCTCTGTCTGCTCAGATATCTACTGCAGCTAAAGGAGGAAGCTATCACTTCAGCTCTAGGACAAGCTGAATGTGCTGCTGCCACGATGCACCAGATACTATTGGAGCTCAGGCTCACATGGCGATTTAAACACACGGTGTAGTCTGATTGCATTTGGCACTTGCATTGGCAGCTCAATACCTAAATCAGTATTTACGTCAGACAGAACAGAGCCATGTGAGGTCAGAGGCCATTTTAGGATCTTTAGGTATTCAAAAGACAAGATCCAGCAGAACACAGAGTTGAATACCAGCTAATATTTCATCCTTCTCCCCTCAAAACTATATAATTGGATTTTCAGCAACTAAATTAGCCCCGGCATCACTTCCTCCCTATGCAAGTCACAGCAGCTGAGCTGCACAGCTCCCCAAGAACGCTCACCTTTTTGGCCTCCTTCAAACGTTTTTGAAGATCAGCCTGTTGTTCTTGCATTTTGCTTTTCCATTCCTGCACCTGTTCCAGTTGGATCTTGTACTTCTCGAGCTCTTTAAGTTTTGCTTTGTCTTCATTTCGCTTTATCTTCAGAGTCTCCAATTTCTCCTCCAGGTCCCTGACTTGAGCACGCAAGTTTTCCTCCTCCTACAAAGTGATGCCAGGAATTAGCAACAGGAGTAGCAATATCCTTTGCAGAGAGCTCCAAAAACATTCATTTCACGCATAGTTAGCGAAACCTAAGAGTCTGGCCCAATCAACTAGCCCTTCTTTTGGCATTATTATGGGAACAGCTTTTGAAGAAAGCATCACTATATAGTTGCAGCTGCAGAGTCTATCATTTTAATCTTCTGATTTTCACTACACACAGAACACGTGATAAATGTTCCTTAACAAATTGAGACAGCCTGGCTTGCAAAGGGTGCTCAGCATCTAGCCACTGATTTCACTGGGATCTATGCATGCTTAAATTAAAAATAAAACAAAACAAATAAAAAAAACCACCCACCCACCCAAATCCACCCTTCAATAATTTTTTTCCTCCTACCCTTAGGATCAGAATGGAATAGTGGCATGCCAGAAACGTTTTCTTAAGGAGAATCAGAATTTATTTAAAAAGGTTTTAACAAAGCAACCTACACAATGTTATAGACTTACAGCAACCAGGATTTTATGACATTAATGAGTAATTCAGAAACATGCATGCACACAAATAGGGCACACCACAAACTGTGCATTCATGCTGCAAGTTTATCATATCTTGGTTCAGCTACTCCCCTTTCATCCTTCCACAGTCCTCTCTTGATATTTACTCTTCTAGAGCAAGGCAGATATTTGTAAGAAAGAGGGTTTCAACCACATTCGGGGCTGTGTGTATTGCAACCCACAACATGTCAGGCTGGAACACCTCTACAAGGAAAAGCCCAGTAAAAGTCTAGAACCTGGAAATTCTTCAGTCTGACCAGGATAGCACATGACAAATCAAATCCTAAAACTGTCTCTGAAGTAAACCTCAGATTAGCTTGCAAGCGCAACCGCAAGACCCTCTTTAAGACTTTTCTAGCCTGCTAACTGCAGAGAGGCAGATTCAGGCCCTTCCCACAGCCCTGCCAGGTAACCAGCACCAGCCTGAATTCACTTCACTCTACTGAAGGTGAGTGAGGGCTCTAGTATTTGGGCTTCACTGTGAACCCCGCTTTATCTTTAACTAAAGATATAGCCTAAAGAGGATACTGATACCAGTACGCAATGCCCCACTTTAATCCAAAAAGGCTGCACAAAGATACAGCACTGTAGCTGGGGCCTGCAGCAGTGCCTTAAGAGCAAACCCAAAGGTGACCAAAATTAGTGCTGGTGCGTGAAAAAGGGAGGCAGACTTAAGACTCCCAACAAGATGAAGATGCACCCCCATGGGTGCAAGCAAACACATCCCATCTCACCCAGCTATAACACTTCTCTTGCAAAAACCTCCTATGTTCAAAGGGGAAAGATATATCTGACTCTCCTTAAAATACAGTCAAGCTTAGCACGATGTTTCTAAACCAGATAGCTATGTTGTAACTGGTCAGCTGCCTATGCAGGAAGGAAAACATCACTCAAGCAGCACAAAGCCATAAAGGTATTATGCAGCCACGCGTGAGTTTTTACTGAAGGGTGAGTTAGAGAGCTAGGCAAAACTCCCAGCTCCCTGTTACTGAGCTGACAAGGATGATTTCGACATGCACACTCATCAAACCACAATGCTGGGACAGCAGTCACCTGGCCTTCATGAACAAACTGAGATGCTGCTGAGCTGTTCTGGAGACAGAGAATAATTTCAGTTACAATTGCCTATCTTGAACACAATTCATACATCCAAAATATAGTATTTTTTTCCACAGAATCATACAATAACTGAGGTTGGAAGAGAGAACTGGAGGTCTCCGGCCCACCTCCCTGCTCAACGCAGGGCCAACTAGATCAGGTTGCTCAGGGTCTTGCCTAGCCAAGGTCTGGCTGTCTCCAAGGACAAAGATCCCACAGCCCCTCTAGACCCACCTCAGAGTCTGACCACCCTTGCTGTGAAAAGTTTTCCCAAATATCCAGAGTTTCCTGCATTGCTGCTTTTGTCCATCATTTTCCCTGTCACCACGCACCTTTGAGGAAAGCCTGGCTTCCATACCATTTAAAGACAACCCCACTTCCACCCAAAGTTCCATCTTTTTTTAACTTTGCAAATAAGCCAGTGCTCTGTAAAGGATCCCAAGCTCCCTCCAGTACCCAGACTTTCCAGGCATGTTTTCCCACACTTGCAGCTGCCTTGCTTGCGTGTGAGGGCCCACGCAAAGAACAGGGCAACTGCCCAAGGCCATGGCTATTCAGTCACCAAGTGGCATAAGTCTACAGAGCTACCAGAGATGGTCCTTACCCCTGCCCACTCCATCCCAGAGTAGCGCTCACGTAACCTCACGGTAAGCCCCTGCCCGGAAGAACTGATCTTGTATTTGTCAGGCTCTTTTTTGGCTAGATCCACTCCCGTGGCCAGACAAACGCTGATGCCAGCACAGCGGTACCTTGAACAAATGGCTGGGAGAACGGGTAGGAGGAAGGGAAAGGATCCCCCCACTCCTGCCGCCACCTTTTGGCGGTAGCACAACTTTAAAGCAGCCTCACGACTGTAGGTTAAAATCATGAAGCTGAGGTGACATTAAGGAACAGACTTTGAAAAAAACCCTACATGTTGTCAAAGAGCATAGGAAAACCAAACAGATTTCTCTGCTGCTTTCCCAACTCCGGACATATAGATGTCACTAATACTATCGAGCAAACAGACCTGCACACGCATTATAAACCTGACACCACAATCCTCAAAACCAGCCAGAACTCGGCGGGAAATGGGAATGCCCTTTCTTCCCACCAGGCGGTGATTGCTCCAGCTCCTTCCCTAACACACAACCTCTAATAGTGGTTTTTTTGTCCTCTTGTGCTATTATTTCTTTGCCCTCATGCCCTAAATCTTTCACAAGCTCTAATTTTAACTAATTAATACAAAGCAGGATGGAAATAATGAAAAACTATTTTAAAGAACAAAAATGGATTAATTGTGCCAATACAATTATTAGAAACATCCAAGTTAGAAAGATTGGATGTTTCTAAGGGGTCTTTGTATCCCAGGGCAAGAGTGTTTCCAAAGTGCACCTACTGCACATCTGTCCACTCTAGCTCATCTAATACTAGAGGGTGGATAACGATAACATTTCCAAGTCCGTCCTCGGACGGAACGCAGACAACTCCTCCCTTTACCCGACCTGTAGGCTCTAGCTCTGACAGAGCCTTGATCTAGTATCATGTTCACCTGTGAAATTGGTCTGATGCCATGCAAATCTCATGAGGACCTGGGAAGGCAGAACATGCATCAAGTAGGGAGTTAAGCTACGGCATTCTTAGCATCTGCAGTGTCTTTGCATGTTTGGTGTTTTGGCCTTTAATATTTGTCCCCGGCCAACGCCCTGCTAAGATATTTGCCTGCCTCTTTCAAGTCGCCAGCCATTTGGTTGCTCTGCTCCGTTTTCCTTCAGACTGTGGTACCCCAAAAAGAACCCTGCCGGGGCAGTCACACGAGCCCTGTGGAGCGATCACCATCGGGACCCGTCAGCGGACTCCTTGCTCCCCTTTTCCTCGCACAACTCCTACCAATGTTTGTGGCACGTTTCCTTTCCTTTTTTTACTTAGGAGTTCTCCACCTTTCATACTTGCAAGAGCCTACGGCAACAGCTCACCTTTGTGGGTGATGGAACTGGAGGTGCCACCGGAGAGGTCAGGGAGGGAGTTGGAATAACTGGGGCCACCAGCGGTGTCTGAGCAGGCGTGCTGGGTTCGCTGCTGCTCATCTCCCCCCCGGAGGCCGAGGCTGAGCCGGAGGGCCCAGCCGTACCGCCGGACGCTGCAGAATTGGTGGGCCGGGGGGG